GGGCGTGTGCATGGTGCGTGCTGCCGTGCGGTGCGGCGGTGCGCGCTGCTGCCTGGCGATGCGTGCTGCGCACTATCGGCGGTGCATGTTGCAGTGCTGCCAGGCGATGCCCACTGTTGTGCGGCCTGCTGTGCGGCTGCTACCTATGACTGCGCCGTGGTGCCTTGTCGGATGGTGTGACCATAACAACTGGCAAAGGCAGTTCGCCTCTTACACCGACCTGACACTTTCCAGGATGTTCACAGGTCGGCCTGCCAAGGTGGGGTCAAAGAGGTCGAAACGGGTGTGATGTATTCGAAGTGCTTCTGAGGTCAATGCTTACATAGTGCTGAAGTATCGTATGATGATTCTAGAATGTCATGTGTCATGATGTCACTAACCCCTCATTATTATCCAATTACACATTAAAAATACGAATGTTTCCCACTGAATTTCCATGCTTTCAGAGTGTAAAGTCTTAGCTTACAGCAAATCTTGCCGGCAAAATGTAGGAACTCACAAAACAAAAACGCCTTGTGCCAACATTTGAGTGCTGGTTCCAACTCTTGCCCTCCTCAACTAGGCTTTAGCCTTGGATTAATCATGCTGAAACTGAATAGAAGAGTGGTCGTTGGGCTATCATCTGCTGGACCCCAATTGAGTTGGGAAACTACATTCTCCGACAAGCCACGGTGGGACACGAAGGTGGCAATTAATAAGCGAGAACAAACGAACCCAACCTGGCTCATATATATGAATTAGGCATATTCCTTGCTGGCTTGCGCGTCCTCACTTGTAAGTAGTGCCTAGGTGGACCGATTATGTCAAGATTCATCTAATTGTAATCTTGTATACGAAGCCAATTGTATAGTACTCTCTTATCTTCTCAAATTAATCAATACGGACTATTCCGACTGTCGGGAAGCCAATTAGATTTAGATAAAGGGTGCCTGCCGGGAAGCATCCAAATAGTATAGTCTCTGCTTGTCTTAATTGGACTTGCTCATGCATATCCCACATTCAATAATGTAGGGATATCTTTAATCATTTAAAAGGTCGGTGTTCTTATCTTCTCAAATTCAATACAGACTATTGCGACTGTATTAGGTGTGTGAGGACACACACCCAGCCTATAATGAGAGGGCGTAGGCAAATGATTAAATGGTTGTCCAAATCACCACCACTACACAAGTCGACCCACTACACAATGATAATGATTCAACAAATCGACCCACCACACAGTATGGGTCCTAACAATTGGATTACCAACAGCAAAACCAGAATATTTAAGCAGATGGTTTTTGACGTTTGATCATATTCAAGTGGGGATGTATAAATTTGTCCGTCATCCATGGCTATCACTTTTGCACTTAGACCCATAACCTTGCAACTATACTAAGGGGAGAAAAAGGAGGCCTGAGATGAGCTAAAATCTGACTTATTTTTATCATCCAAACTAGCTTTCCTTACTTTTGTAATTTTTCACTCTTTGATTCAATTTTGGAGTAAATTAATACATAATAACCAGTACTTGTAATAATATTTTGACCAATCATTCCACTTACAGAACTTATCAAAGACAATTCTACTTACAGACGAGATAAAAGAAAGCGCCGATAAAAAGAAAGAAAAATAGAAATAGAGGCCAGAAAAGATCATATCCGTCTAAGTAAATCAAACTTTTCATCAACCCATCATAGTTTGGGTAGTCGGTGGCACCATGGCAACTTGTGCCTGCTGCTGCTGTTGTCTCGCTACGTTTCCAAGCCATCCTATTCATAGATAATACACAAGTTAGAATTAGGCAGCACAAGCTGAAGTCCTAGCGCTTAACCAGAAAAGCAAGTCGGATCTCTTTGTACTCAACCCAAACCCAATACTAGCGCAGAAAGAGAAACTCAGGAGGGTCCGTTTGACAAAGCAGGGTCGCACAACTAACCAGACCCAAGTTGAATTCATAACCGAACTAGAATAAAGAATTAAGGGAAAAAGGTAGAAGTTTTATTACCTATTGAAGGGTCGAAGCCTCTGTGTTGAAGTTCCCTGTATTCCTGGCAAAGAGCGCACCATTCACAAAGGAAGTGAGTGACCCAATCCGGGGCGGGTGCCTCCATAAGCCCAAATTTGTTCCTCAGCTTGGTACGGTAAGTGCAAGAGTAGATACACGGAATCCAAATGAGTAAGGCAATTGCACCGTAAAGTAGCCCGCTAGTCCCACAATCTGCATCAGACAACAAACACTCTAATCAACACCCAGAAGAACATGAAAAGGATCGATCATTCGTTCTTCATACATGCCCACCTCTGCGGATCCCGGATTCCTGCCAGAGATTCAAGAAAAGAACCAACAGAGATATATGGACTTGAGATACAGGTTTGTCTACTTACTAGTGTAGCCATTGTCGACGATCTCTGCGACTTGCCCGAACGTCAGGCAGGGAAAGAAAGCCGTGGTGACAGCTGCAACAGGTAACAGATAATTTAGCAAAAGTACTTACTTGAACTTCATTTGGGAATTCAGAAAGAGAAATAAGGAAAAGGATTAAGAGATTATCACCGTTGGTGGGATCTTCCATGCAGTCGAATAGACCGGTTGACCAAGGCTCAGTGCCAACCGCCGGATATTGCACAGGGATCCCCGCTGCAGCATTTGGCTGAGGCTTGAGAGGAGATTGTGGCTGTTGGGGGTAGGTCTGGAGTGCTGGCGGAGGGAATTGCACCGGTTGAGGGGGAAATTGTTGTGGATTGACTGGAGGAGGATATCGTGCTGGTTGAGGTGGGTAAGTCGGGTTTTGAGGCGGGTATGGTGCGGGCTTACTAGGGTATGTCGAGTTCTGCGGTGGATATGGCGCCGGTTGCGGTGGTGGGTACACTGGATTTGTTTGCTGGTTCGGAGGTGGGTATTGTGTTGGTTGATATTGTGGTTCTTGTGGTGCGTATTGTGCCGGTTGTGGTGGCGGTGGTGTCTGGAACTGGAACTGTTGTTGGGTGGTAGGGTCATTTTCCGGTGGGTAAGGTGATTGGGGCTGGTTGGCCTCATGGGGGTTAGCCTCGTAGGCTTCCGGAGATCTCTCCTGGGGTTGTGTCGGATCATATTCTGGTTGAGGATTTTCTCTTTGTGGACGCCCCATTTGCTCTTCGCTTGTGTTTTACGGGTCTAGAAGATATCCAACTCAGCTGCTTTGAGAAAGCTTTGTATAAACAGAAGAGAAAGTGGATATTTATACAGAGAGGAGAACGTGCACTCGTCCAAGTCTATAGTCTATACAACGACTCTATAAGGCAAAGGATATCTACCCAAAAAAATGTCAACCATCCCGTGATAAGCAATTGAAAGATTGACTCGGTGGATAGTGGATTGGGTCGATTCGGGACCGGATGGGCCGGAGATAAAATTTAAACCGGATTTATTTGCTCCTCACTGGTCGTGCCTCACATCGCATCACAGCCCTGCATTAGGAATATCTTTACATTAATGACAAAATCAAATATGGAAGATATTCTAAATGTCTTGACTTGGTCTACACGTCCACACTTCTGGCGCCAACCAATCACTGTAGAAACTCGCAAGAGTAAAGAGTATTAAGTCCTAAACACTTGACAAAGTGATTGGTTTGGTACTGTGTAATGTACATTCTACAGAGAATTAGAATGCAAACTAGTCTTATCTGTCTATGAAAGAAGAAAATGGCAATATTGACTTTGACTGCCTATCACTTTGGTCATCCAATTCGGCTAGCCTCCTGAACAAGCCAATGGAACCCAGCTATAAATTGTGCGGCATTACTATTACGCATGAACAGTGGTTAGATACAAGAACACGACTTCAATACCACTGCCAATATCTTCCAAATCCTCTCCTGTCGTTGTTGTTGGAAGTTCTTAATATGCCCTTCACATTCCCAACTTGCATTACCAAGCTTGAATTATTCTCTCCAGCTAACTTCATTTCTTCAGCAAACAATTAATGTCCCCAAGCAGATTCATTGTGCAAGTCAACCTTGTATTACCAACATTAATTAAATTTTTAGTTGGGATCACAAATAAAGGACATTTCTCTTCCTTCAAGGAGGAACTCTAAATTTACTCACATAGGTAGGGAAGTAGGAGTAAAGTCTACTCTTAGCTGAGAAGTCTCAGAGTGGACTGAGAAGATTTGATTAGTTAGCGGTTCTCCAAAATTTTCTGAGAAAACTTTGGCTGTTTGGGAAATTTTGATTCAATTTTAATCTATTTGTTTATTTTCAGAGCAGAAAATTGAAATAAAATTTGAAGCAAAGGTAAAAGTCAAAGCAAAAGAGCACCAGGATTTGCATTATTTTCATTAATTTGCACTCTCATGCATTTATGCTAGTGCAAATGAAATTGTATTGTAAACATATAGAGCTTAAAACTCAATTTGGAAAGAGTACAAATAGAAATATGTACAGTGTAAAATATACAAACTAACATAAAAGTCAAAGCAAAAGAGCACCAGGATTTGTATTATTTTCATTAATTTGCACTCTCATGCATTTATGCTAGTGCAAATGAAATTGTATTGTAAACATATAGAGCTTAAGACTCAGTTTGGGTAGAGTACAAATAGAAATATGTACAGTATAAAATATACAAACTAACATAAAATACAAGGTTTTACACTATATATTTGTATTTGTACTCTTTCGAAACGGGATTCAACTGGCAGCAACCTTCGGTTTTTAAATCTGTCATTAGGGATGACAATATCCAACCTGATGCGCATTGCTCTAGACATCCCTCTTGGGAACTTTCAAGCTTAGGAAAGCCTAACCCAGACACGGCCTGCATCAAGCCTGTATATAATGTGTTTATGTATGTGTAGTATGTTGATTGACAATTCTAATCCCTTTTAATTTTGTAACAAGGGGGTAGGGATTGCAATTTTAAATTTGAGAACAAGCTGTTAGTAAAATGTGGCTGTTTGGGAGGGCTTTCACATGGTGGTTTTTTAATTTGGATTAGCTGAACACGATGATATAATGCCTCATGGCAGCCATAAATGCTAAGTGAGTGATTGAGTGGTTGTGGATCGTATACATTTTATACCGGCGTGGAGCATTACCATTGGTACCATTTACCATAGCCTATTATGGGTTTGACCATGATATTGGAAACACATCATATCTAAAAAACCTGTGACCAATCAACTGGTATCATAAATGTATTAACCAATCAGATGGTATTTATTTAAATTCATGTGTGGATTTTGATTGGTACAATGTCTTTGGGTCATCATACATTATCCCATAATATTTGGTGAAAACCTGGCCCATAAATTCTAAAATAGTTGTCTTAGAGCCGAAAATTGAAAAATATGGCTCTTGGCTTTATAGCTGAAACTTCTTTTTATGATTTCTCTAAAACAGCTCAACCAAAAGCTTCAACTCTCCCAAATGAGCCCTTTATCTTAATTCAAGATAGTTGAAAGATTGATCTAGCAAATTAGTGTTTATATCATTCTAAGATTGCATTTGGCATTCCTTATTTTAAGGACTTATCTCCTCTTTATATTTAAAATATTCCTATGAACACTGAATTTTTAATTGCAAAAAGGAGATAAATTCTTAAAATAAAGAATGTCAAATGTGGCTTAAGTCTTTTTCTTTTTCTTTTTCTTTTTCTTTTTCTTTCTTTTAATTTTCAAGTAATAATCAATCATCAAATAATTACAATAACTGATCCTCATAATAAGAATGTTTGTTATTAGGAATATTATAAATAAATATGATAAAAACAAAGAGAAGAGAGCCATTCCACTTGCGGGAAGGAGATATTGACAAAATAATGGATATAGATAGCAAATGAAATATGAAAATGAAAACAAAAAAGAAAGAAAAAAAAAAAACACAACACAACACCACAAATCAGAACCGTCCAACTAAATCAGCTTCTCGTCATCCCATCATAGTTTGGGTTGGGGGAGGCACCATTTGAACTTGTGCTTGCTGCTGCTGCCTTGCTACGTTTGCCAGCCATCCTAATCAATTACAAAAAATCTAAAATTAGAAAGGAAATAAAATATAGAAATCAGGACACACCGACGCGCGGCGAACCCTAACAAAGGAGAAGTCCTGATCCCCGAGTCCCTGACCCTAAATTGCCCGTCGGGTGGGCTAGCACCCAGGTTTAATCTAAATCGATTGAAATTCAAATCACCAGAGTTGTCTCTCGGCAAAACCGGTTTTCATTGGGTCCGAATCGGAACTGACAAAAGGAGAAAAAATGCCGGGTCGTTCACGTGGGCAACAACCACTCCGGTTTATCAGAGTTTTGAAATTTTTTTACCTATTGAAGGGTCCAAGCCTCTAAGCTGGAGTTCCCTGTATTCCTGGCAGAGGGCACAATATTCACAAAGGAAATGGGTAACCCAATCCGGGGCGGGTGACTCCACGAGCCCAAATTTGCTCCTCAGCTTCGTACGGTAGGTGCATGAATAGATGCACGGCAACCCGATAAAACCTAAAACCAAACCATAAAGAAGCCCGCTGGTCCCACAAGCTGCATCAAACAAGAAACACGTGTCACTACTTGCCTACGTCTCTGAAACCAATGGGATTCGCGGTGAAATCATCGATGAAGAAACAAGATTGTATGGTTGATGAAAATAAAGAAGAGAGAGAACCCATAAAGATGAATCTAAATGCTAAAATGTTCGGTGTTACAAGTTTGGCCATTGTCAACTATTTCTGCAACCTGCCCGAACGTCAAGCAAGGGAAGAAAAATGTGATGAGAGCTGCAACAGAGAAATTGATTAATTAGCAATCGTTCTTAAGTTTTCTTTCAAGAAAGCAAATTGACGTAAAAATTAACGAGAAAGGTCTTTACTGTTGGTGGGATCGTCCATGCAGTCGAATAGCCCGGTCTTCCAGCCTTCAGTGGGGACCATTGGGTATTGCACTACCGGAATACCAGGTTGTGGTGGTCCTGGTGGAGTCTTGTAGGGGGACTGTGGCTGTGGTGGGTATTGAGGTTGCGGAATTGGCGGAGGGAACTGCACCGTCTGAGGCTGAGGAGGGAATTGTTGGGGACTGGCTTGGGGAACGTAGTTTGCTGGAGATGCCTGAGGCGGGTATGTGGGGTTTTGTGGTGGGTAGGAGGCCGGCTGAGCAGGAGGATACGCCGGGTTCTGTGGTGGGTAGGTTGCTGTCTGAGGCTGAGGCTGATACGTGGGATTTTGTGGTGGGTAGGAAGCTGGCTGAGCAGGGGGATACGTCGGCTTCTGTGATGGGTAGGTTGCAGGCTGAGGCTGAGGCTGGTACTGTGCTGGTTGATACTGAGGGTTTTGTGGAGGGTATTGTGCCGGCTGAGGAGCAGGTGGTGGTTGCATTGTTGAGTCATTTTCCGGCAGTGGGTAAGATGGTTCCGGCTGGTATGTATTGTCGAGAGGTATCTCCTCCGGTTGTGGACCTTCTCCTTGGGGACGACCCATTGGCTATTTGGCTTCTCCCTCTTGGTTCCTCAGAGATTCCAACTCACAGAAAGAGAGAGAGAGAGCAGCTTATGGGAACTAAGCTTCAAGAAAGCATTATATAAGCAGAGAAGAGATGCATCTGGTCAACCCATTCCGGTAACAGAATGATAATGGACTAATGCTTGGTTTTATGTATAATTAATTCTACAGTCTGCATACAATACAAAACTAACTAAAGTCTACGGCAAATAAAGTTTAAACAAGTTCGAGCTGGTGGAGGGTTGACTTTAAATCTTCCAAATTAATTTAAGTAATAGAAAGATAACAGCTGGCCAGCCTGGCCCCAAAATCGGCGGCCGGGGAATAGAACTGTTTGCACAGTTTTACAACTTATTTTAACAAATTAATGCGTTTGAATGCAAGTTATCATCTTCCAATAACTAGTCTAATAATTCCTTGTCAGTTCTTAGGTTTTGAATTAAAATGTGGCGCCACTTGCATTTCTTTTTTATTCATTCACTTCTTCAACCAAGAAACGCCTTCCTAACTCAGTTATTCTTACTCTTTCTCATTGTCTAGATCCATGTAAGAGGTAAAATAATTATAAATCAGTCCTTAAATTACACAAACATTTACATTAAGAGTAGATCTCTATGCATTCTGATTCTCCTTAAATTAGTCCTGTCTAGTTCGAATTATTCATACTTTACCCCAATCTATGATGTTGAAGGTTTTTTAGGCTATGTTTGGTTGCAGTGCAAATTCATTTGCACTAGTACAAATGCATGGGAGTGCAAATGTAAAAAAATGCAAATTCTTGTCCAATTTTGGTTTTGATTTTAATTTATTCTGCTTCGTGTCTTAATTTACTTCATTTGTACTGTAATCAAATCATTTGCATTGCCATGGTTTTGCATCAGTGCAAATTTATTTGCATTACAACCAAATGCAGCCTTAGAGGCAATTTTTACGATGCAAATGATGTTCATCCTCTAGAAATCTGTTTGGATGCACAATTCTTGTCCAATTTTGGTTTGGATTTTAATTTATTCTGCTTCATGTCTTAATTTGCTTCATTTGTACTGCAATCAAATCATTTGCACTGCCATGATTTTGCATCAGTGCAAATTTATTTGCATTACAACCAAATGCAGCCTTAGACGATGCAAATGATGTTCATCCTCTAGAAATCTGTTTGGATGCACATGTGTTCTAACGAGTAAAATGGAGTCTTATATTGAAGACAAAAGAAATGAAAGGGATTGTTGAGTTTGTGCCTTGAATTCTTTGTTGCAGTTATTCAATGTCCCAGCCCACATTGTGGAGAAAACCCAAAGGCAAAATTTTATTGTGGCCCCAACCTTCTGCTTCCACTACAGACCATCTTTGCATGTGCGGGGGTGGAGCTATGGGTACAATTCATTTTTATCTTATGGGTTCAACTTAAGAGTCTGAATCTCCTGCACAATCCTTCCCGAAGAGATTCCCGCATATGAAATTAGAGTGTTATGTCACCATTCTCTCAAGCTTAAATTTCACATGTGCCAGTGGGAGTAACAAACTTTTCAAACATCCTCCCATTCTATTTTTAATATATTAAAATTTTAAAATAAATAAAAAATATGGATTAGGGTTTCTTCGTCCTATTTTGTTCAAATAAAATATAAGAATTTAAGAGCTGAAACTAATCAGAAAAAACCAATTTAGATTTCTGACTCCCAAAATTGAACGCCTGAAGCTGAGACGATTCTCTGGCTTTTAAATGATTATCAACTGGAATCGTGTTCTATCACTTGTAACTAAGAAGGTTTGTTTGCTCTTGTCAAGTCCGATCCTCCACAGGTCTATTTTGAATGCAAGATGTCACCACAAGGAACAAACAACTGAGCTATGTGAGATTCTTGAATGGAAGTCTGGCCCTGTACTTAAATGTCAGATCTACTACTGGCCTAAACATTGCAGATATTTATATACCTGTTCCTAAATTGTCATCAATGATGGATACATGAAGTTGGGTTTTCTCTTTATCTATGTGCAAGAAGAAATTGAGCAAGTCTCAGAGTGAAAGCTTGGGTATATTGGTGTTTAGGATTTCTATAAGAGAGTGCTTTTTGCACAATATTGTATTTTCCATTGTCGTTTTCCATGGATTTCTACTCCTTCACCCATGGATTGCCATTTTCTATGGATTTCTACACCTCTTTCACCCATGATGTAGATCATAAGCCGAATCACATTAATCGTTGTGTGCATTCTTGAATTCCCCTGTTTTGCATTTTCTTCTTGTTTTTTTTTTCTTTTATATTTGGCAATTATTTTGATATTACGTTTGTTCCACCATAAGAAAAAATTTATATACAAGGAGTGCCCAAAAACCGAATGACTTAAGCTTTTGGGTTGTAATTTGCCAAGTGTCTAACTCTTGTGTGTAAGTCCCACAGTATACATATGCACAAGTTTCCTGATTTGGAAACTCCCCTCTGTTACAACTTCTCTCATGGTGCAACAAAACCAAATTAAAGGTTGAAAAAAACTTTAGTTGTTCATAAAAAACACCCTTTTGAGAGTAATTGCCCTTAATATTCTATTAACCAAAATATATGACAAATAAGGGATTAAGTGGGATAACATGATCTGTGGCTGTAGTGATGTGGGTAGGAGGAGATCGAACACCCCGAACAGCCAAAACTGTTTTTCAAACAGCCAACATTTTCCCTGAAAATCCAGGAAACAGTGGTAAGGGAAACTATTTGTTTAGGCTTAAGGTCGATCGTTTAATTTTGTCAATATCAATCTAGACAATATATAATTGCAGTGACCTTTAATTTCGAAGATCTTAAGCACTCAGCTCCTTCTTAGACAGGGAATTTATCTTAATTAATCTTCTTTAATTTGCAGGGTTCATGTTGTGTAGATTTTGATTTTATAGGAACCGAGTCGGTATATATGGTTCCAAGTGTTTACATGAGGGAATGAAAATTGCAAACCCTGAGAAATCATGGGCTCAAATTAGTTTTCAATCGGATTGACTTCATTATTTTTTGTATATACATTGGGCCCAAATCGGTTTTAAGAATACAATCCACCATGTTCAATGGAATTGACTCCATTATCTTTCTATTCTTCAATAATTGACTAAACCAGTGACAGCCTGAACTGACTTTATTGCCTTAAATGTTCCAGCCTTGTACAACAAGCTTTTTTTATTCCCTTTCTTTATAACCACTATTCCAAGCTGTTGCAATGATATTGGTTGGAGACTGCTTCATTAGTTTTTCGTTTTGACTAGCTTAAGCAATTTCGATATTTCCAAGCTGGTATATTAATTTCTGTACACTGTATAAGGGAATGTAGGTTTCGTAACCTTGGCATGTTTACTACAAATATATAATTATTAATATAAACAAATCACAATGTGTATTCATTTTATACCAAGCTTTTGCCACACGACAAAATGGTTCTATGTACTATGTAGGAAAAAAAACTATGGTTCTATTTTCTATGGAAAAAAGTATTTTCACAAGACCTATCAATGGTTCGAGCAGACCCCAAAAGACACAATTACATAGGGTTTTGGGTCTATACTCTCTCCCTCCCTGTGTATATTTTTCTCTTGATATATACCTGTAATGTTATGATATTATGATGATCAAATGTGTCAATTTAACAAATAAGTAAGCTTATTGTTTAATAACTAGTTAAACCAGCAGGCAAAACTGGGTCTACCCTGACCTAGACCAGACCCAACCTATTGACTGTAGTAATATTCACCAAAATTTTTGCCTTCGTGTTCCAATCAGTGGTTTTTTTTTTTTTTTTTGGGGGGGGGGGGTGTTGCTTTGGGTTTAGGGTGATCACTTACCCAATTAGTTGCTTGTTTCTCAAATGATAAATAAATTAAAGAATGAAACTGAGATTGAGATGTGTTCTATGATTCCAGACATTTTTTTCTTCTTTTCTTTTGTTTTTGTGTTTTTTTCCTTATTTATCTGGTTTGATTGAAAACAAGAGAGAAACAGAAAGTTGTGAGGGCAAGTTCTTAGGAATTTTTCGAAAATCCATTTTGCTTATTCGTCTAACTGGGATCATCTCAGTAACAGTATGACACCCAAATAATGTTGGGTTCTGAAGCTCCATATAGAAGTGTGGAATGATGATATCCATAAAGAAATTCTCGTTGAGTATCACATGTTTGGATATGTATCTCGAGTACGCTTATTGGATCGCCATTCATTAGATGTAGGAGTCCTGTGTCTACAAGATTTCTAAAGTTTTTTTTTTTTCACCAACTAAAAAGGCATCACATGATTAAATGTATAGGTCTCTGTGTCTACAAGATTTTGCAAATCTTAAGCCAAAAGCCTTCTATCACATGGTAACCAGAGTCAAATTTTCAACCTTGTTTTTTTTTTAATTCAAGAAAAATTAAGGAGAAACTGTTATTTGCAAGGTTTTTAAAATCAAACTAGACAATGAATCCGTCAGGGGAAAGGTTCTCGGGTAGAACGGTCCGACTGTTCGAACTAAACAGACGGCCTGTTTTGACAAAAAAATAAAAACGGCCAAAATTATTGAACAGTTCGAATGGTTCAACTGCCCAAATCAACGGTTTTTGACAAAATAACAATTATAGCATAAAACGGAATTAATCACCTGACCAATTTCCGTTCCGATCCAATCCGATTTTGAAAAGCATGGTTATTTGTAGGGAGAAACACAAACAGTTTTACTGGTGTCCTCTTGCATCACATATTTTCTCCTACATTTCCAAGTATTACTGGTGTCCTCTTGCATCACCTATTTTCTCCTACATTTCCATTCAGTATATATGTGACAGTATTGTCATATGTTTGACTATATTCTCGTTCTGTGTACATGACCTCTACCAAATTAAATTACACCCTCCATTGCTTCCATAGAGATGACTTACATCCCTTATACATTACCCCATATATATAATATATATGTTCAACTTGCCTCCATGCTTGGTTTCGACTTTCAATTACTCGGTTCCTTAAAGAACAAGGCTTGCCGGAACTGTGTTCGCTTCACATGCATGAAATCTGACAAGGAAAACTTAGCTGCGAAACTTAAAATATTATTACATGTATTACTTATTTTTCAAGTTTAACCACTTCTGATGTGGCAAGTTTTGAGCCGCAATAACCCTCTGCCACACGGCAAAAAAAAAAAATCCTTGTGTACACCAATCAGTAGGTTGAGGCATACTTCTGTACATGAAACATACAAGGGGACGCACCACCAAAGGATTTCCTTTTGGTAGTTAATACCACACCCGACCAATGTATTTTCAGCGAGGCCATCTTAATTAATTAATCAGCTGCCCACGTGAACCCAAGCGTATATCTCTGTGGGTGTCTGGTTGATTTTAATGAAACAGAAAAATTCTTTGAGAACAAACACTTACTCAAGTAGTCTGGTATAATAATACCATACGACCAAGTATGCATAGTCTGTTCTAAATAGTTTCCCAGCAGCAAATATTATTCCATGCAAACTCGTATATATATCCAGCCTTGCATGGTGACTTCGGAATTTGAAATTGGCGTAAACGCTGGTGGAAATAATAAATACTTAATTTGTTGATCATGTTATAATTCACCAGTTTTCCTTAAAAAAACAAGAATCAAGATCAAGAATACAACCTATCAATCACAAGCTGCAGCCACCCAAGTTAGACCTTACAGCGTCAATTAACTTGTTGTCTATTTAAGTAGCAAGCACCCATAAGCTGGTTTCAGAAGAGATATAAAGCAAGTTCTCTCCCTCTCTCTTGCACTACTGGTTTCTAGCTTTTCATTCCCTCTCTCTCTCGTTCATTTTAACGCAATTAATGTATCCCAATAATCCTGCCCCGGTTCCAAACCCTCCTGCTTGTGCCGTCCCAGCTGGTCAATGGACAACAGGCCTCTGCGATTGTTTTGATGATCCAGGCAACTGTAAGATCCTTCGACTTTATTCTTTTCTTTGACATGCTCTTTCTTTCTTACCAAATCTGGGATGGCGTAATTGCTAATTCCTTACTGAGAAATCGAACAATGACTTCGATCTCTCTTTCTCTCTCTCTTCTCAAGGCTGCATCACCTTTTGTTGTCCCTGCGTCACCTTTGGGCAGAATGCAGAGGTGATAGATAAAGGAACCACATGTAAGTATATTCAATCGCTTACCTTAATTTTAAATATATGGTCGTGTTATAACAATTTAATGATGTTCCATCTTAAGAGAGAGGTGAGACTTGAGAGCCATAATAACAGCTATCTATTCTCTAATTCCTTCATATGAATGACATGCAACTTATCTCGATAAAACTACCCAGCTCTATTTATATGAAATATCAGGTTGCCAACAAACAATCAGAAGTATTGCTTCACCCTCTGAATCTTTTGTTTCTGTACCAGAAAATAATAATAAGTGATTTATTGGTAGAGCGGTGAATTTAATTGTAAAACATATATATGATGCTGGAAAATTTAAAATTGTAACCAATCAACTGCCTTTCCAGCATCATAAATTTTTCCGTTATTATGGGCAAATTTTATCATCCGCTAATTTCATTTGATTCTCTCTAGCTTCCATGCAAAACTGAAGTAGCTTCCATATTTCTTTCGTGTAAACTACTTCAGCCATTGTTGTCATGCATCCAAGATTATGAGGATAGAGAAAACCATGTAGAGAACCCTGGCTGAAACCTTTTCCACGAATAGAGGGTGGAGAAGGAATAGAGAGATCAGTCACAGAGTTCCTTGGGGCCCCAAAATTGCTGCCAAGTATAAGATTCTTTGATCGCTCACATATCTCAGCTGCTAAAAGATTTTATAGAAAACCCAAGCCTATATCTCACTTAAACGAATTAAGAAATCATTCCCAAGTTCTCACACTGCTTCCCATGTTGCAATACTTGTAGCTTGTGGGGTTGCCGGCTTCATCTACTACGCCCTGGCAAACATTGGCTGCTCATGTCTCTATACATTTTCCTACCGATCCAAGTTAAGGGGATTGTATTCATTACAGGAAGCTCCATGTGGAGACTTGCTCATTCATTGTTGCTGCCTTTCCTGTGCTCTTTGTCAGGAGTACAGGGAGCTCAAGAACCGTGGTGTGGATCCTTCTATAGGTATATACTTCTACTGATCTCTGGCAATTAAACAGTTTCACCCTAGAAATCAATTTCCTTCATTTTGCTTAATTTGATTGCACACGCTGATAACAGTGATGCCTATTTATGATGATTCCTGTTATTACAAGGTTGGCAAGCCAATGCTGAGAAGTGGAACCGAACTGGTGGCGGAGGCATTGTAATGGCCCCAATTGTTGCTCCAGGCATGGCTCGTTAGGCTTCTCCGGTTGTTTCATTGAACATATCTAGACGTCTCTGCTCATTTGGCTTTTGAAGATTTTGTTTCACTACGCTTCCTCTTTAGGCTTTCTCCAAGCTAGCTTTCGTCTACTGTTCTTTGCATCTATTCTGTTTGCTGTCATTGTATTGTTCTTCATCAGTTTGGTTTGTAATTTGTCCAAATAAAAAGTGAACCAGGTTCTGGGTATGCTTTTGGGATACCCATGCAGATCCAAGTGGCCTAAATATGATCATACGGAAAGTGTACCCGCAACTATTCGTATAATTCTATGGATATACTGTGATCAATAACAAACCAGAAAACAAGCATACAGATTTGATGGAGTCCCAGAATGGACCCATTTTCCTAATTTAAAATTGGGTCCAGGAGGAAGGTTTGGACTGCTTTTAATCTGATCAGATATCCCGAACAGAACTGGGTGTTGAGATGCAAAATCCAGAAGGTTCTGCCAATATCAACAACTTCGTACAATGAAATAGTTCATAATCAATGAGACGAGGCACATTTATAGTCATCAATCTTGAGGTCCATCAAATATGACAACAAACTGAACATAATTCACACTTCATATGTTAATTAGCTGAGGCGTTTGGCAAGTCTTTTTTATGGTTTTTCAGATTTTTCAAAGCTTGGAAGACTTGGAAGACAGGAAAACAGAAAAATCTATGCCCTAAAAAGCTCATGGAAGCCCAAAATGGCTAAAAATCTGAATGCTTGAAACAAAGCTCCCAGTCTTTCTGCACTTAAGATCTTTCATTTAACAGCTCTGTAAATCATGATTTTAACAGCTCTTTGACCAAAATTTGCTCATTCCTGTTTTTCTGTATTTCTGCACATAAGCTGATATGGGAATATTACAGTTGAAACCAGTATGTACTCGGTGTAAATCTAAATTTACACTGTGGGTTATTACACCGATGGGTTCATGAGAGTGTAAAATGGGAACCGGATGTTTGTCCCATTTAACACTCTTTGCGTTTGATAAATCATTGAGGTAAAAGTCCACTGCTTTCTAACCGAGAGATTGCAATCCTGGCCGGCAGAGAAAAGGAAAACCGTCTGTTTCAATTTCTAGCAACAACAACCACCGTCGAGGGAACTCTGATAACCACCGCAAACGGCGGTGAGCAGCGTATCAGACCAAGAAGTACACAAAATGGAAACAACTCAAATAAATGTAAAAGGAAAACGAAAAAAGGAGAGACACAAGGGAGAATAGAAGTTATTTGAGTTATATGCTAGTTAGACATGGGATGTTGCAACAGGAGAGGCTCTCGTACGTTCGGACCATTCGTTCTCGAACAGCAGTGGTGACCAGGGGTTGCAACTGGAGATCGATGAAACAGGTGATCTTCTAAGTGTAAGTTTTGCCCAAAGAAGAGAGGAAGATGACTTTGAATAATGGCTGCTACCGTTGGTCCTAATTGGCTGGCAAGGAAAACGAGGACAGGGGATCGGCAAGCGGTTAGGGAAGCCAAAATATTGAAAGAAACTGGTGTAGATAATGGAGTACAAAGAAACGGTGAGAATGAGGGGAGATGAGGGGAAAATGATATTGGCCAACACTAGTTGGATTCAAACTCGCTACTGCAACAAGTTAGAGACCCGAGGTACCGTGAGACTGGAGACGATATATGAAGAGAGATAGAGGGAGAGAAGAAAAGCGCAGAGAGGAAGGGGAGAATGAAGGAAAAATACCATAGGAAAAGGAAGAAGAGATCGGGGGAGGGGAGGTTGTCGCCGCCTCTCTGTTCTCGTCGGAGGAAGATGATGAACAGATCGAGTTTTACACTTCTACCCTTTACCGCTCACCGCTCACTAATAATGTCTTTGGAGAAGACAGTGAACAGGGTAGGTCGAAGGTAGGAGAAGAAGGAATAGAAGGAGGAGAAGAAAAGAGAGAGGGAGAGAGAGAGGCCAGAGATGGAGCAGAAAAGGGATCCGGCCGGAAATGGGGGATGCCGCCGTCGTACTGGTTCACTCTCTTCTTCGATCGAACAAACAAATGTAGCCGTTGGGGAAGAGACGTGAGGTAACCGTTGGACAGAGGAAGAGGAAGGTAAAGACGTAAAGTTTTACATCGATTTTAGCGACGTAAACTTTCCACTGATTTTCGATGAATATTCCGACAAGAATGGACTTTTTACACTGATTGACGAGGTATATTAACACCTCTTCTTCTAAATGCTTGTAAAATCGAATTGGGATGTAAAATTTACCCCGATTCTCATTTACACCTCTATCAAACGCAGCCAAATTAAAAAAGAACCATTACAGGAATGCAAATAAATGTCGTCCTCACGTGCATTCATACAGCCAACAACGTAAAAGAGCAGGTATTGGACGCCCAATAGCTTTGAACCGTATCAACCTTTGAGGTCCCAAGTCCGTCGCATAATCAGATTTCAAATAAATATTCTGCTATCCTGTTCTAGGAAGCAGATTCAATTCCAATTTTGGAGAAGAGGACAATAAAAGGACTGTTTGGAATCAATCCTCTCTACCCGATTAACACATGCTAAGCCTCTGGCTTCTCAACTGCTTGGAACTAGCTAGAGGCCCCTTGTGTTGTGTCAAAGACCAATATCACTGAAAGAACTTGAACAAATTTGACGAGAAGGCGAGACTGAATTTGGTTCGGGTGAGGATGATGAAGAAACCAAAGGCCCCAACCGAGAACTGTTAGTTGAAATGAGCTGAAAGTGGGCTGTTATATGTAACCAATACTTAGGTACCACCGGGGGTGGCCCAAAACAATCAGTTAAAGCAGCAGTAGATGAAGATAGAGAATATCGGGTAACAATCTTCATTAAAAACCACATGACGGGAATTGTATATGCGGCCTGTGGCAACATCAATGCATTTGCATCCCTTGTAACCATCCGGATAGTCAAGAAAAACACAACTTCGGAACTGAAATTCAAATTTATGTTTGTTGTAGGCAGGAGTAAGGAAAAACATTGGCACCCAAAGGTACGTAGCAAATTGTAGTTGGGCTTCTTGGCAAACAATTTTTCAAAGGGGCTCACATAACCAAGCACCGTAGAAGGAAGGCGATTGACTAGGTGCACTGCTGTATGGAAAGCATCATACCAATAATGAATAGAAACAGAGAAACGAGCATGCAAGGCTAATCCTATCTCCACAATGTGACGATGGCGTTTCTCGGCAGAGCCGTTTTGTTGTTGAGTATATGGGCATGAAACCCGATCTGAGATGCCATGGCTAGTAAGAACACCATTAAAATTGACAAATTCAAGGCCCCCATCTGTCTGGAGAATTTTGATTTTACGTTCAAGTAAATTTTCAACCATAGATTTGAACTGAAGAAACACGGCAAGCGCATCAGATTTGTGAAACAATGGATATGTCCATGTAAAACGAGTAAAACCATCCACAAAAATAATGTAAAACCGATAACCATTAACAGAGCTAACTGGGGAGGGACTCCACAAATCAGAATAAATAATGTCTAATGGAGCATTAACAACTGAATCACTAGGAACAAATGGAAGACGATGTCCCATGCCTTGCTGACATGGTGTGCAGAAGGCAGTTTTATGATGAGAAGAAAGTGGTAATTGATAATCTGCTAACACACGTTGCAAGACCTTTATTGAAGGATGTCCAATGTGATCATGCCAATGGTCAATGGCCATGCGTTCACCTACGGTATTTACATACAAAGTTTCCTAATCCAGAAAGGAAAGAGACTTCCTATACTGATTGGTACAGATTCAGATGACTTTCAAACCGGGACTCTCGCGAGTCTTCTTATCTTCGTCCAATACTCCCCCTCAAAGTGGTGCATGAGGATTGCGAATGCTCAACTTGGGAAGGAAGGAATCAAATTGTTGTTGTCTGAGGGCTTTGGTGAAAATATCGGCATGTTGTTCACCGGTACGGACATAGGCAGGTGCAATAGTGTCGGCTCGGAGCTCATTGCGAATGAAATGACGATCAACTTCAATATGTTTGGTCCGCTCATGGAAAACAGGGTTCACGACAATGTGCAGAGCAGCCTGATTATCACAAAACAGGCGTATAGGTTGAGGATGAGAGATACCAAAAGATGATAGCAGACCTTTTAGCCACTTCAACTCACAACTGGTAGTAGCCATTGACCGGTATTCAGCCTCGGTAGAGGAACGAGAGACAGTATGTTGTTTCTTGGTTTTCCAGGAGATGGGGGAATGTCCGAACATGATAAAATACCCAGTAAGAGAGTGACGAGTGAGAGGGCAACTCGCCTAGTCAGAATCACAGTAGGCATATAATTGCAGATCACTATCACAGCGCAAAAATATTCCTTGACCAAGACGTCCTTTCAGATAACGAACCACATGTAAGGCCGCATCCCAATGATCAAATCAAGGACTCTTCATAAATTCATCTAAGACATGGACGCAATAACTGAGCTCCGGCCGTGTAATGGTTAAATAAATCAAACGGCCCACAAGACGTCGATACCGTTCCGGGTCATCTAGGAGCTTGTCGTCGGTAAGGGCAAGTTTAGGATTCTGAGTAATAGGAAGGTGAGTAGGTTTGGATCCCAACAAACCAGCTTCTGTAATAATATCAAGTGCATATTTTCTTTGGCAAAGAAATATCCCCGATGATCCGCGAGTCACTTCGATGCCCAAAAAATATTTAAGAACACCCAAGTCCTTCATGTGAAAACACTGGTTCATATACTGTTTAAATTTGCGTATGAACTCTAGGTTATTCCCACCAACGATTAAGTCATCAACATAAACCAGGACGTGCAAGACAACCCCATCCTTGTGATATGTAAATAAGGAATAACCGAAATAGGATTGTTCAAACCAAAAAGTTTTCAAGGCAACACCTAACTTAGAGAACCAGTTCCGGGGGGCTTGCTGCAGACCATACAACAATTTCTGGAGTTTGCATATCTTTCCAGTTCCGGAGGCCGAAAAACTTGGAGGAGGTTTCATATAGACCTCCTCATGGAGATCACCGTGTAGAAAAGCATTGTGGACATCCATCTGATGCAATTTCCAATGTTGGGCCGCAGCAACTACTAAGAAGGTTCGAACTGTGACCATTTTAGCCACAGGGCAAAAGTCTCATTGTAATCAAAACCTACAACTTGAGTGTTGCCCGGGACTACCAACCGTGCTTTAAATCTTGCAGTGGATCCATCAGATTTGTACTTGATTTTGTAGACCCATTTACACCCGATT